AGTAAGCGAGTTTAGAGCGCCGGAGAATAGAGCAGCCGAGGAACTCGAAGCTTTTTAGTTGCCGGAGACAAACAAGAGAAAATTTGAGAAGGCGGAGGAAAAAGTGAGAAAGGAAGGAAGAAAGGGGTATTTATAGACAGCAAGAAGAAATCTTGACCGTCCGATCAAAGATGGATTCAACGGCCCAGATGGGGCACGGAATGCGAAGCGGTGGAGAGAGAGGACACATTGTCAGAAATAAGCATCCCTTTTTTGAATTTTAAAATTCAAAAAGATGCTTCCAGAGTCATCCAGTCGCTAATCGAATTCCGACTGGACCAAATCACAAATCGACGAGGAAATGGGGGCAATAGATAAAATAGACGAAAACCCGTAACCGACAAATATACTCTTACGCTCTGAGTCGCTTCGAGTAATTTTGGGGGGGACTAGATGATATAGCCCCACTGCCCCATACCGGCTCGGATACATCTAAGTCGACTTCCGTGAAGTCGACTTGTCTCAGGACACGCTGGTTGCCGGTTCAGCAGGAAATAAAGAACCTTGTCGACATCGATTATCGAAAGGAGAGGGCAGTCCAGTCGACTCGAATTTGTCTCCTGAAGTCGACACGCGAAAAGATGAGGAAGTCAGGCGGCAGTCAAGAACAGTCTGGTCGACTCGTGTCCCGAGTCGACTAGAGTAGTTCCTGAACCCATAAATCCTTGGCAGCCTCCGTACATCCTAGTACGTCAGCAGGAGGTCATTAAAGGATAAGAAAGAATCCAAGGGCTGACTAGGAGAAGAGGCAGAATATGAACCGACCAGGGTATTCTCGTCATTTCCCCTAAGTCGGCCGGGGTATTTTAGGGGCTTCAGGTAAAAGTTGTGCTCCTATATAAGGGGCTGAGGTAACCCTAAACCCTAACTCTGATTCATTCCACATTTTTCCCATTATTGCCGCTACCCTTCTTCTCTCTCAGATACTGACTTGAACGTCGGAGGCTCTACGCCGGAAACCCCTCCGGCGTTGAGTTCTTTGCAGGTTTTTGCCCCCAGTTCGGACAGATCCAGGCGCATTTCCTCCAGTCCATCCCAGATTCGCACACATTTCCACGGGTTCAAACCGGATCTGAGAAGGAGACCCATCATACTCCACACAAAAAAACGTGTGAAATCCTTTAACAATATGCAATTTATTACCTTTAATAAAATAAACTAAAATCAAATATTATGGTTGCAATATTTGTAATGTTTATTAAATAATTCAAAATGATATATTGCAGTTTTTATAATTTTTCATATCAAATATTTAAAGTAATTAACTAAATTATAATTTGTTATTCCCCTATAAATACACACATTTTTCAATCATTGAACATCATTCGTTCCATTTCTTTTTTATTTTC